CTCTGTAAACCCCCGCGTTTGCCGAAATGAAATGGGCAAACGCTTCAGGTTAGCAACATATGCTGCAGGAACAGCTCTTGCTCATCCAATCATAGGTACTTCCGATTAGCTAAAGCTAAGTTGAATTAATCTAAAACTTCGTCACCCACTGGTTAAAAGCGGGTATTTATACCCAGATTAGCCAAAATATGTGAAAAGCACAATACCTCGAAGTATTAAAACTTCAACTGGAGGTTTTATTATTTAACGTACAAGTAGTACTGTAGTTAAACCCAAAAAGCAAATACGTGAAATACTGATTTCATGCGTTTTATCATTGCAGTGGTAAAGATCCCAACTCCTCCGGATATTATATTCGGATAAGAGTCACATACAAAAATCAAGATACATCTCCGCGGCCACCCCTACGGCCAACTGGCCAACTATCCAAGCGCCCATGTAAAATACCGCTAGGTTTAATCTCAATTTCTGGACCAATTCATCACCAAATTTGAATCGGAGACGTAGAATTTCTTCACCACATTGTAGAATTTCTTCACCACATTGAGATCTGTCGATTCTACGTCTCAAATTGCTGAAATTTTGAGTAATGAACGATGAAATAGAAGACAGAAAATTTTGTGAAACGTTGGTACTGCGTAGTACTACAGTAGTTTATAGATGACGTGCACCATATTGCGCTTTTCGCTTAAACTTGCCAATTGTGAGCCATTGTGAAAATCGCCAACAAATAGACGCGATGATTTCATTGGTTAGAATTTCGAAGATTTGGGCAGAAAATGACATCGAACTCACTGTCAGTTGTCCACAACTGCTTGGGTAGTACGACGAGGTGTAGTCGCACGTTGCGGTAGCGCGAGCGTCCAGTTGTTGTACTTGAGATGTTTGTGTGTACATGTGTACATAGGTGTGCATGTGTGCTGGGGATACGAAGAAACTCGCACACGAGGCCTACGCGCTCAGGTGTTACACGATGGGATGTCCATTGACTCAGCTCAGGAAACTGCGTCATAACAGGGTGACTTGTATCGATTGTTTTGTGAGGAAAATCCCACTTTTTGTCATTGGGGTCATTTCGCGGACATTCGGATCGGGGCGATTTGATTAACAATAAGAACAACACGTGGAAATTTTGAGTAGAACAGCACGCAATTTTAACGTCTCCAGGGTCGAGGCACAACTCTCTGAACATACTCCCCTGGTTTCAACAGATGCAAAGGCGGCATGCAGGTCAGCAACATGTAAGTGTCGGTAACGTTGCTTGATCGATTTAAGAACCGCCCATGGAAATTTTAAGTAGAACTCACAATACTACGGAGTGGTACAGTACAAATTTACTGAACTTCGAAGAATGGTACTAGCCATCAAAATATAGAGGTATTTATTCTCAGAGTTTATTCGCATTGGATTAATAACTTACTGTATTTACTGTTAACAGTAAAGTCGAGTCCGCATACTATTAGTACGATACACTTTCGAATTGTATGGGAAGAAACAAATTCTGAGGGGCAAACTATGGTGTTTATCCCATCTGATTGTCGTGCTTGGATGTAAGCACGTTGGGATAAACCCGTGCGTAATATACCACATACTGCCTCTAGCGATCACATCGCATTCTGCATCGGTCGTGGTGTAGCAGCGCAGCATGACGGCAGAATGCGTCACGATCGACGACCTCCTGCTGCAAGAAGATGTGTTCTCCCTCACGCAAGACGACTTGGACGCGGTGTCGCGGCGGTATGCAAACCAGTCTGGACTGTCGTCCGAGGATTCGCGGCCGTCGTCGACGTGGACGCACATGCCGCGGTCGTCGGTAGCATCGTCGACATGGACAACTGGATCGCATCCGTCCGTGATAGGAGGCAAGTCCACGAACCAACCTTCCATGCAGCAGCAGGGGGTTCGCATGTCGTGCGAGTCGTCCACCAACTCTGCGTGGACTCTTACCGAGGACTCGTCGTGGCTGAATCCGCCCGCTTGTGTGTCGATCCTTCCGTCGTCAGATTTCACGCTCGACGGCAACGTCCTTGGGGACAAGCACACGATCACGTTACACAACACATCCCCCAGTCGACATATCGTGTACAAGCTCAAAGTCCCAAACAAGTGTCGGTCGTGGTACGCGATCACTCCGAACCAGGGCATTCTGCGGCCGAATGAGTCGCTTCCCATTGTCGTTGAGGTCGCCGTGACTTCTTCTTCTTCCCAGCTGCTCGAGACTGTGCCGATGCATTCGTCCAGGACCATAGTACATGCGTTCCGCCTCGACATGATCTTCGTCGTGGATAGCATCGTCGACCAACTCGAGTACTTGGACTATGGCGAACAGCATCGGGTGCAGACGGCGCTATGGGACAAAGCCCTTCCGTCGTGTATCCAGCAAACCATGTTGCACTGCCACCTACAATGCACGCGACTGGCATGCTTGGACGCGGATGTCCTTCATAAGCATCATGCCAAGCACGACTCGACGAAGAAGCAGCTGTCGTGCTTGACGCGGCGGCATGCGCACGGGGCGTCCCTCGTCCTCACCAACTCTCAACCGACCACCACGGTCGCATTCAAAATCAAAAGCAACTGCGGGCTCACAGCCACCCCGTCGTTCGGACTGATCGAGCCGTACGGAACCATCGCGGTGCATGTCACCCCCAAACGCCACACCACAAACAAACTCGACCTCCTGCGGATCGAGACCATGCCCCTCGTGGACGTGGACACGCATGTGAAGAGCGATCCCACGCGTACCCTGGACGACATCCGACGACTCGTGCAAGTCGCGTGGTCGACCATTGACGCTCAGTACAAAACCACGCAGACCATGTTTCCGTGGGAAGGAGATCGACGAGGCGCCGCGTAACATGAATGATCACACTCGCATGTAAGCACACTTCCATGTCGCTCCGAGGGCATGTGTACAGCAGTCAGTGCCTTGTGCCATGGGAAGTCGGTAGTTCCAAGAGAACATGCTTGCGGTTCGCACGGATTCTTCTTCTTACCAGCTGGAGTCAAGTATTTGGTCAATATATCGACTCTGAACACCCTCAGATATTATCTACTATCAAAATTATTAAATTTTGAAGGTAGGTCGATCACACTAAATTATGATGGTCCGTTTTAGTGTGGACTCTCCTGGCGTTTTCAAGGTATTCGAAACGCCACATCACACTATTTAATGATATATGTTCAAAATACATTCATGTGACATAAGCCTATTTTGAACCAAAGCGCCGCCATCAGATTTTTCCATTTTGAATTAGAGGGTCATGGTGCAGGTATGTACTCAATCAATGCCGCCGACAGACATGTCGCCGCGGAATGGACTGGTGGTGCTCATGTGTGAGATGCGAGGTAGGTAGGTATCATCGGTGCGACCGGCGCCGTGGGCAAGGAAGTGTTGAGCGTGTTGTTCGACCGCAAGTTCGCCCTCACTAGCGTGCATTTATTTGCGTCCGAGCGGTCGGCCGGCAAGACGGTCGAGACGCCGTATGGCCCGTTGGTCGTGAAGCTTTTCTCTGTGGACGCGGCTCGTGAGATGGACTACGTGTTCCTCGCGGTGTCAGGGACGTTTGCTTTGGAACATGCCGAGGCGATTGCAGCGCCGGGAGGAGCGATCGTGATTGACAACTCGTCTGCGTTCCGCATGGAATCGCATGTGCCGCTCGTGGTCCCCGAGATCAACGGCAACACGATTGGAGACCGCCGGTTGATTGCGAACCCGAACTGCACGACGGCGGTAGCGGCCGTGGCACTGTGGCCGCTGCATTGCCACTTCACCATCGAAAAGATGATTGTGAGCACGTACCAGGCCGCAAGTGGCGCCGGGATCGAGGGTATGAACGAGCTCATCGAGTCGACGAAGGCGAGTCTGAGCGGCGCGGCGCCGTCGCACGCTGTGTTTGCGCATCCGCTTGCGTTCAACGTGATCCCGCACATTGACGCGTTCCAACCCAACGGGTACACGAAGGAAGAGATGAAGGTGACGTGGGAAACCAACAAGATCTTTGGCGAGTCCTCCATCCGGATCAGCTGCACGGCCGTGCGCATCCCCATCCTTCGCGCGCATTCCGAAGCCATCACGATCCAGACCCGCCGTCCCATCTCCCCCGACGCTGCTCGGTACTACTGTTCAACTACTACCCCCCCCATCATCTTGATGTCAACATGTGTCCAGGGAACTCCTGCGCCAAGCCGACGGCGTGGATGTCGTGGACGACCCCGCCGCCACCGCGTACCCCATGCCCCTTAACGCCACCGCCAAGTACAACGTGGAAGTGGGCCGCATCCGCCAGAGCATCGTCTTTGACGAGCATGGGCTGGACCTGTTTGTGTCGGGCGACCAGCTGCTCCGAGGCGCGGCGCTCAATGCGGTGCTCATCGCCGAGTACGTGGCGCACCCGTACCCGTCCAAGTTTGCCAAGCAGATTTAACCAAATGTATGGGACTATCAAAGCCCTGCGAACGAGTACTAGTCTATTACTAGTAATATACTAAATAGTAGGTACTAGTATCATCTAGTAGTATTATAATTGGTGTACTAGTGGTGGTCTTGGTTGGGGGAAGAGACACTCACCCACGGGTTGTTGCCAAGGACATTCAACGACAAAGACATAGGAGGGTTATCGTCGTTGGTGGACGAGATAGCACGAGCGTTTGGGTCGTAGTGGCGCTTTCTACGAGAACAAAATCATTCAAATATATACATATATATATTATAAACAAATACTAGTATCAAAAACCAGATGATTCTATTTGTACGTTTTTAGGGCCTGTCTGGTAACATTTCACAAAATAATATCCCATTTTTTGGCAAAATGGGATAAATTAAAAATGTCATTTTCAAAATGGAGGTTTAAAAGGGCCATTTTGTAATAACTATGGCGTTTTGGACCTCTTCAACGAGTAAATCCCACGTGGAATTGTTTATTGGATTTGGGTTAAAACTCTTTAAAACTTATGTTTCAATTTTGATCACAGATTTGTTGAATTCGGCCCCAAAATGGCATTTTGGACTCAATATTGTAATATTTCATGTTGCCAGACTAACATACTTATATATATATAAATACGAATAATATGAATTTCAAAAGAAGCTTCATATTGTATTTGATATATGTACTGGGGGATACTTGGCAAGTTTCACAGGAATGACGGGGGAGGTGATGGGAATAGATATGGATGTACTTGTGCTTGAATGCCATGTGGGTCTGCATGGTCGCTCGTTGCTTGGCGTCGATGGGTTTGTTGTCGAGTGTTGCTGTACAAGTGTTTGTGTGGAAAATGAATGAATTATTATTAATCGAGTGAATTATGAATTAATATGAATCGAATGAATTAATATGAATCGAGTGAATTAATATGAATCGAATGAGTTAATATGAATCGAGTGAATTAATATGAATCGAGTGAATTAATATGAATCGAGTGAATTAATATGAATCGAGTGAATTAATATTAAGCGAATGAATTAATATTAAGCGAATGAATTAATATTAAGCGAATGAATTAATATTAATCGAGTGAATTATGAATTAATATGAATCGAATGAATTAATATGAATCGAATGAGTTAATATTAATTGAATGTGATGTACCTAGACTGGCATGGGAAAAGATGATCGTGTTGTCGCGGTACTTGGGCGTAGCGTTCACACTGTTGTTGGTCAAATTCAGTTCTTTCAACGATCGAAGGTTGCCCACGAGGCCGTATACGTCCTATGTCATTGCATGAACCAATATATATCTACTCGAAATGGAGAGTATATATATATATATCACATGAACGAGGAAAGAGTCGAAAGGTATATATATATACATGAACAAAGAAATACTCGAAAACGATATACATATCATATATACATGAACAAAGAAATACTCGAAATCCATATATATATTATATTCTGTAGTACAGTACGTCCATCGTTCAAAGATCGTCCATCTTTCAACGAACTCATCAATGGAATCTTGCATAGGGTACATCAATGCCACAGATTGTGGAAGTATATATAGACACATGAACGAAGAAATATATATATATATATTAATATATATATATATATATAAACGTCCACCAAAGAAGAAATCATCAAATGCATGTTTGATAGTATATATATATATACATCGATGCTGTGGATGCAGTTGCGTGACAAGTCGAGGGATTCCAGTCGACGAAGGGACTGAATTGGTTGGGGGTCACGGATGTTACAGTTGCTGACGTTGAGAATCCGCAGCGATTGCTACAGACGACATAGGACGGTAAGTTCGTTTCGATAGTCTACCAGTTTGGATTCACATATATATATTTATATTTATATATACCCCCAGCGTAGCCATGGAGTGCGCTTCAAAGGTAAAACCGCAGCCGTCACCGCCACCACCACCATCTTCTTCGTCATTACCAAGTGTTTGGTTGGACAGGTGCAGTTCGTGCAACAACGTGCAATGCGCGAGGCCGGCGAGGCGACTGATGCGGTTGCCTTCCAGGTACCTAATATGTAGAGTCGCCGTCCTTCATTGAGTACCTTGGGGTACATAATAAACCAAGTGCATCTGAGTAATATTACAGCTTTTCCAGATGCACGAGCGCTTCAAAATGCTCCATTTTGGAGATGCGATTCCGTTGAAGATGGAGATGGGTCAAGTGCCGGAGACTCGACAACGTGCTGTCGAGATGGGCGATCTTGTTGTCGTACAAGTACAGCACCTGTGTACATACTATCGTGACTAAACGCTTTCGAGTACAAGGCACCTTGACGTTGGTGCATCGGTCCAAGTTGGTCAGGGTGGACAGCTTCTTGTTGTTCAGAGTGACGTGCGTGATGCGCTCGAGGTAGTGGTCCGTAGACTCCCCCTTGGCAAGGGTCGTCTTGCTCGCATGCATGAGCATGTCTGTCGTCGCGTGCCCGCCGGTGGTGCTGCATTCCTTGGACGCTTGCATCTGCTTTGCTTTTAACGGTAATGTAAAAATAGAGTTGGTTGGGCGGCTTTCGAACGTATTGCCATGTACCCTTCCGTTTCGACGTCGATCAAGCCCAGGAAGTGACCGATTGTGGCGGCTTTGCCACGTACGCATGGTGCAAGACTGTGAGTTCTTCAAGTTCGTAGAGCTGCCAGGTACGGGCTCCTACTCAATATGCGACCGCGATGGAAGTCGCAAAAGCAACGGTTCGTACAAGGAACGCGTCCATTGCCTTATCTGCGCTTGTCGTGGAGGATGCGGCATCCCAACGCTAGTACACCGGCACGTCCGCGCTACTTCGTTGGCATTTTCACGTTACACTGCGATTGAAGGCATTTGATTGGTCAGATTGTTCATTCAAAAGCTGGATTGGTCAGTTTGGATTTTGCACAATTGAGCGCGTGTTCGTATGTCCATCACAACCCCCGCCGTCCGCGTCCGTCTCGTCCGTGGAAGCGGCACGAAGAAGCTCGTGGCGCTGAAGAAGATGGTGTCCTTAGACATGCGAGACGAAGGTATCTTCATCGCGGGACAAAAGATGGCGCATCCCCGACAAATCTCCCACCGACGGCGGCTCTTGAAGTTCTATTTTGAAGGCTGCCTCGAAACCACGTCCTCTGCGATACTTGCATGCAGTACTATCGCCTCCTGATGTTGCTCTTGTCGATAGGATCCAATTTCCAACAGAAGATGACCTTCTGCATTGGGTCGACCATCTCCACAACGCCATTCCGTCGCTCCCGATTCAAACTGCGGCGTCCAGTGCAATCGACCTATCATCTTCTCCCACGGCTGCATCATCGACGACCGATGCACTCGCGACCCAATACCTACGTGACGAAATATTTCGTGCGTCCGTGCATCGAATCCATCGATGGATCGACGATGCGACTGCCGGCAATTCATAACCACACGACACAGGCTGTATTTGTCGTCACCTCATTCCATATCAAGTCCTAGCCTATGATCCCTGCGTATTCTCTTCGTTGTTGCCTGCCGTGCCGTCTTCGATGTGGTCGTACAGCCGCTCTTTCACAGTGTCAAGTATATGCGCCATCGCGCGGACCTCGTCCTCGTCTCGTCGGACAATCGCGACGTGGAGCATCACGGGAAGGTGCATGATCGCGTCCTCTTCTTCGGCCGCGCTCGGGTCGCCAAAGTTCATCTTGTAGTAATTGGCCGCGGCCGTCCGGTATTTGTTGTACAGGTCAACGCTCGGCGTGTCTCGGAACCCGAGGTCGTGGCCGTCGCGGGGGTCCTCAGAGCCATCGCCGCCACCGACACCCGCGTCCACGGCGTCGTTTTCACTGCACATGCGTTCATGCGCTTCTCGAATGCTGTCTTCGGAAATACCGTACGCCAGCGCCAACATGAGGAACACGGCGTACTTTCGCTTCAAGTGGTCGCGGAAAAAGTGCAACACGTCCGCCGACAGCGCGACAGCCGGCTCGCTGTCGCCTTGGACGGGGAGAATGAACTGCTTGGACTCGATCTCGCGGCGGCTGTTGGCGGCAAACAGCTCGTGGACGCGGCTGACCTTTTCATACACCAACAGCGCCATGGCGGGCCCCGTAACCTGCGCGACGAGCTTCTCCATGGCGATGATGCGCCGCAGCTCCGACTCGGCCTTGTCCTTGTCGTCTTGAAGCAGTCGCGAGCACCAGATCTCGCTTTGATGGAGAGTCACGCGCGAGTCTTGACCAGGAGACACCCACGTGGACGACGACGACGGTGGCGGCGATGACGATGAGGATAATGCCGATGCTCTGGTTCGAGAAACGGACGCATCTTGGTTGTCATTCTCGTCAGAGTTGCCATGTTGCTGATGCTTGACCTGGTGCTGGAGGGCCCGCCGGAGACATTTCGACCACAACTCAAACGTGTGTTGGTTGGTCGTGGCGAACTCGACAATGACCCGCGCACTGGCGTCGGGATTGTTGGCCACGGTCGTGTCCGTGTTGCTGCCGCGGGAATTGACGACCAGTCCTTGCCGCAATTCGCCATTCAGCCACTGCAAGGCATCGTCGGACGGACATGAGAACGTGATTCTCTAGAGGATGGAGTTGCATCTAAGTACCTGATCGAGTGGGTCGGTTTCCAGTAGCTTGCGGCGAAATAGTCGCGTCACCACGGGCCCGTCGACGTCGTAGGACTCGTCTTGGACGTCCACGCGAAGAGCGCTGAGCAGCATCATGGGATTCAATCGAATCACCTACACATGTGCAGGGATAACTTGACGGTCGTTCATGATGGCGAGGCATACTCGATCTGGTGCCACGCCTTGTTCCCACTTCTCCCGCGTCGAGTAGATGAGTATGTGGTCGTCCTGGAGTGACACGAACCGCGTGCGCCATTCCTGGAAGAAGAAGATGTTGCGCTCCAAGAACATCAAGTTGTCGTTTAAAGTTTGCTACACGCCGGCACATCATCAACAAGTTGAGCGTTCCCATGAACTAGAAGCATCGAGTCATAGGTACCCGGTACACGATGGCACTTTTGGCGCGGCCGAGACTCTTGGGTGTCCACGGAGTGCTTCCACCGGCAAGGAGTGTCGTGTCGACGATAGATGGATTGTTTCCATTGTGCTGGAACTGCTGCTTGGTTAGAAGCATCTTGCGCATGGATGTCGCCGCCACAGTGCCGCCTCCATCGTCTCCTGGCGGCACCTTCACCATCGTCGACCCATCCAGAGCCATGAACTTTCTCCCACCAAGACTCCGAAACGGCGTGTGGTTTTTCGAAAAAAAACGATAAAAAGGCACGGTGTCTCTGATTGGTGGAAATTCACCGCATGCGAAACCGTCAGTTATACAGTATCATGTTGGTCCCTGTGCGTAAGGACACATGATCAGTGTATACCACGAAGGGTTTAGCGAGGAGGTAAATTCAGAACTTGGTGAGGGCTTACTTCATGGAGAGAAGTTCTAAAACGTGAACCGGGTACGCCCGCTCAGCCGCATGTGGTTGACGGCTCTGATAGGAACCACGACGAGGGTGACCGGAGGCGTCCAGCTGCATCACGCGACAGCCGATGGTAAACTGCAAAGCGTCGCAGACGACAGAGAATGGTTGTTGAAGTCCGGGAGTGCCAAGATCGGGGCGATTGAGCTTGAGGCCTTCGAAGGCCGACTGACACGCATAATCCCAAACCCAAGGAGCGTCCTTAAGGAAAAGCCGAAACAGAGGCTGGGCAATGGTGGCAAAATTGTGTGAGTACTTGTGAAGGTCGGTCTTTAAGGCCAAGCTAGCGACGAACATCCTTGAGGTAAGAGGGAATAGGTTACTGCGATATGGCCTTTACCTTGTCGGGATCAGCCCCACAGCCGTTCACACCCATCAAGTTTCCCAGGACTGGGATTTCATCGACGCCAAACATACATTTGGCCAGATTGGCCTCGTGGCCGTTGGCACGGAGGTCCTCAATCACCCGGCGGAGGTGGACGTCACGATCCGACTGCGCGGGCGAGGCACAGCTGTGGACCTAGATGAACGGGAGGGCCGTGTGAGGGAGACGCCACCGACGCCACAGGGCGAGGGGCAGTGTAAGCGCACGAGAAATGTCTAGGGTGACCACAATTGAAACATGCGCGATCGTCCGATCCTTGGGTGAGGTTGGAGATATCCATATCCGAGGAGTCCGCGCGCGTGTGCGCGAAGAATGACAAAAATGACTCGGAAAGCGCGATTCGGACGGCTTCTTTGAAGGTTTGCAGGTAGGTGTGAAACAGCTGTGTGCGCACCGGTCCATGAATGAGTCCGTCCATGAATACGGTCACACGCAGGAATTCGGGGAGTGATTTCTCGTCGATAACATTCGCTGCCAAAAAGTGAAGGTCATGAATGAATTCCTGAAGGAAGTTTTTTCCTTCCTTGCATGCCAAATATTGCGAGCGATAACGAAAATCGCTGTTGGGCGGCAAGAACATTGCCTTCAATCCAGTCTCGAAGGCGTCGAAGAACGGAAAGCAGTGGGGGTCCGTCAAGTGTTTGGAGAACGCCCAACCTCCCGAACGTCCCTTTGAGTGCGACATCGCAAAAGCCAGGCGAGTGGCTTCGTCGGAGATGCGCTGGGGGTCAGCGGCAGTTTTGACTTGTAAAGCCAGTGGAGGAGTTTGCCAGACTCCGCTCCACCGAACATGGCGAATTCCAGCTTGATCGGCTTCAGGCGAGGAGCCGATACGGTGTCCGACGATTCCAAACCGCGCGAGAGGCGCGCAATCTTATCTTGAGCGATTTGCAGAGAATCTTGGAGGGTGCGACCATGTGTCGTCAAGATGGAAGATTGCTCTTCTAAGGTCGCCATTGTCTCACGAGCGACGCAGAGAGAGTCTTCAAGGTTTCGCCCATGCGAATTCATTTGGGCGACTTCTTCTTGCATTGTCGCATGGGCAGCAGTGGATGCTGCCGTAGTTTCAGCGACAGTGAGTTCGATCGTGCAACCGATGTCTTCCACAAGGTGTGCCTGATCTTCGGGAATCATCCCGCTGAGAAGTAGCGCGTATCGTTGTCGCCAAAACCGCGACGCAGAAGAGCGAGGACCGCCTGGTGCGCTGCGGTGTTGGCGGAGGACATAGTAGTGGTCGACTGGACGAACGTGAAGTACCACCAAGTGTGATAGTGTGCAGAGGAAGGCGCAGGAGATGGTAGAAGCAAGAATGAATTGATAGCGTTAAAACTAATATGCTATCACTAAGCTACGCACAACCAACAGTTGTTTGGGTGGTGTTCACAGGGTGTCGTTCAAGTCAGGGGTCGAAACAATGCATCTTCGGGAGAACACCTTGGTCTCTCGAGAGGACATCTCGGTATCTCGCGACAGGACATCTTGGCCTGACGAGGTGTCGACTACAGTAGTCATCCGGATGATCGGCACGGTTACAACATCGCCCGCTACCGCTACACTTGTCGGGTGCAAGAAGGCGGTGGAGTAAGCGATTATGGTGGACGGAGGAGTGCTCTAGAGGACGTCGTTTAACGTCGCTGCACCACACTCTCCACTGCAGCCTCTACAGTGTATTGCGATGTGCTCTACCGTCGTACTCCACTGTGCGATGCCGCCGAGTGAAGCGGTTGCCGCCTTTCCACGTCTTTGTGCATTGCACCTATAATTATTACAATAACGTACCTATATTAACATATTTCCCCCGATAATGACAGAACATTCGATATGCTTCGTTTTAAAGCAAGTGCAACCTTGCTTCATACAAAATGTCGAATCGTTAAAGCTACTAAAACCACTGGCAGAAGTGTACTACGTAGTAGCAACGTACTATCGGAATTCTTTCCGGATAACTACTATTTACCCGGTTGAATTGAATAGGTCAATTCCCGCATTGAAACAGTATTTCCGAGAATAGAAACAGTAGTACTGTTATAATGAGGGATTTGTTCTTTCGAAAATCGTGTACCGGTATATATCTAATTCTTGAATTCTATTGGGTAATGCAGCTCAGCAAATCACCAATCTTTCGTCAAATCACAGATCCGTCACGTTATATAGATCATCGTTGGCGTCCTAAATAGTCAGAAAACCCCGCTACTAGGGTGATATTGCAACTAAACCATACACAATACATCCCGATGAGTTTTCTGGAAAACTTGTTGGTTGCGACATGCTTTTGCAAATCAAACATTTTAGTGGTGAATCGACCAAGAGCGTCCAATGGTCGACCTGCTCTCAGGCCTACCGCTGGTACAGTAGCAGTGCTTCTCAACCACGTCGCGCTCAACACACGGGCGATAAGTATACCTGATGTTCGATTCGGCATCGGCGCTCACACTGACGCTGTAACCGTGCCCACATCCGGTTGCCAACCGGATGACTAGTCGACACGCCTTCAGTCCAAGGAGACCTTTTGCTTACCAGCATGTCCTCTTGCGCAACCAAGGTGCTCTCCCGACGATACATCAATGGCCGGTTGCGCGTAGCTTAGTGATAGCGTAGTAGTCTTAACGCTATCAATTATTCTTGATTCTACCATCTCCTGCGTCTTCCTCTGCGCACGCACACACTTGGTAGCACTCCACGTTCGTCCAGTCGACCAACACTATGTACTCCACCAACACCGCAACCCACTAGGCGGTCCTCGCTCTTTTGCGTCGCGGTTTTGGCGACAACGATACCGCGCTACTCCTTGGCGGGATGACTCCCGATAACCAAACACGCCTTGTGGAAAGCACGATCGAACTCTCGGTCGCCGAAGCTACGGCCGCCCAGAAGACATTGAAAGAGCAAGTAACTCAAATGTCTTCGCACGGGCGAAACCTTGAAGACTCTCTCCGCGTCGCTCGCGAGAAAATCACGACATTAGAAGAGCAAGCCTCCACCATAATGACACATGGTCGCACCCTCCAAGATTCTCTGCGCATCGTTCACGCTGAGATTGCGTGCCTCACGCGCGCATTAGAGTCGGAAACCCCATCGGCTTCTCGTCTGAAGTCGATCAAGCTGGATGTTGCCAAATTCGGCGGAGCGGAGTCTGACAAACTCCTCCGCTGACTTTTACAAGTGACGCCCAGCGTATCCCCGACGACGCCACCCGCGTGGCTTTCGCGATGTCGCACTTGAAGGGTCGTGCGGAAGATTAGGCGTTCTCCAAACGTTTCATGGACCGCCATTGCTTCCCGTCCTTCGTGGACTTTGAGACCGAACTAAAGGCAATGTTCCTGCCGCCCAACAGCGACTTTCGTTATCGCTCGCAGTATCTGGTATACAAGCAAGGGAAACGTTCCCTTCAAGAGTTCATCCATGATCTTCGCTTCTTGGCAGCTAATATTAACGATGAAGACTCGCTCCCGTAGTCCCTACGTGTGACCGTTTTCATGGACGGTCTCAACCAAGGCCCGGCGCGCACCCAGCTGTTTCACGCATACACCTTCGAAGAAGCCGTCCGAATCGCGCTTTCGGAATCATTTTCCTCCTCCTTCGCGCACGCACGCGCGGCTTCCTCGGACATGGATGTCTGCATGCTCACCCAGGCATCGGACGACCGCACGTGTTTCAATTGCGATCGCCCTGGACACTTTACCCGCGCATGTCCGGCACCTCGCCGTGTGGCGTCAGCCGCGCCTACCTCACACGGTTCCTCACGTGCCGCGCCAGATACCCACTCGCGTCGCTCTCCGAGCGGTCCACCTAACCGCTTCAATCACGAACGCCATGGCGCCTCACGTCCGCGTTTCCACCCCGCTCCGGGCTCGAGTGCGGCGGGAAACGGTCGCTCCCAGTAGGCGCGAGGCGACCTACTGGGGACACCCTAGGTCCTTTGGAGGTGTGTGGCACGCTGACACACTCTCAGGACCTAGCCTGGGACACAGACCTTCTTCTGTGTCGTGTTGGGCTCCAACCCAACAAAATGATTCGTTTGGAACTTGTCGTGCCTGGCTTTCCGGCCAGGCCCTCTGCTTTAATCGATTGTGGGGCGTCGAACAACTACGCCAGCCGCTCCACTCTCTCTCGCTTCAACCGCTTACCCTCTTCGGATCCCTCGGACAGGGTTCGCGTCAAGATGTCCGACAGCCACACTGCGTCTCAACCGCGCAAAATCGTCGACGTTCCCATCACCTTCGACGGTGTCGACTCGGTCAAACCGTTCTATGTTATCGACCTCGATGAGAGATGGGATCGCATCATCGGGATGTCCTGGCTGGAGTCCCACCAGCCATGGATTGATTGGAAGGCCAAATCCGTGCACAAGGTTACTTGGCTCAACGCGAGCCAACCCTGGATTCATCGGCGGGCTGCCGATCGCCTTCCCCCGTCCACCACCAACCCGCTTGGTTCTCCGTTAGAGGCGATAAGTAATGATCTCGCCTCTCCTAACCCCGCAGCGTGCTAAGTATTGCGTCACGCGGCAATGGCCGCTTCCTCGCGACCAAGTCGACGCCATCGAAGCCTTCTTCGCGGCCCGCAAGGCGGCGGGTCACGTCCGCGAGAGCATTTCCCCTCACAGCAGCCCGACCTACTGTGTGAAGAAGCCCGGTGGGAAATGGCGTATTGTACACGCCTTTAACAAATTCAACGCAGCCACGATTCCGGCACAGACGTCGATTCCTCGCAAAGATGTTATTATCGATGGGATGGGTCGATCTATCATTTTCTCCACCATCGACCTCCGCGATGGCTTTTACCAAATCCTGATGCGTCTCTGTGACGTTCCTAAAACCGCAGTTTTGTACGCCGAGTGGCATGTTATGGGAGTGGCTAGGCATGCCACAGGGTCTCCCCATCGCCCCGGCGACTTTCAAATGCATGGTCACCACGAAATTCCGCGCGTTTCGCGACTTCGCCCCGTCGTACTTTGACGACATTTACGTCCACCGCTGCGCTTCACCCGCGCAGTCCGATATTGACGTTCACCGCGGCCACCACCGCCAGGTGTTTGAAGTCCTCCGTGCCAACGCACTCTACGCCAATCTCGCGAAATGTATGTTTGGCGTCGACGAAATCCCAGTCCTGGGCGACTTGGTGGGGGTGAACGGATGTCGGGCTGATCCCGAAAAGATTAAGGCCATTTCGGAGTGGCCTATTCCCTTCTCCGACAAGGATCTTCGTCGCTGGCTGGGCCTTGCGACGTACCTCCCTCCACAAATACTCGCAAAACTTTGCGAACATTTCCCAGCCGTTGTTTCGGTTCTCATCAAGGACGCTCCTTGGGTTTGGGATTCCGCTTGTCAGTCGGCCTTCGAAGGCCTCAAAACCAACCCGATTTTGGCGCTCCCGGGCTTCGACAAACCTTTCTCCGTCGTCTGCGACGCCTCGAAATTTGCAATTGTGCTGCCTGATGCAGCTCGACGCCTCCGGTCGCCCTCGCCCGGTCTCGTACCAAAGCCTTCAACTCCACCCGGCTGAGCGGGGGTACCCAGTCCACGATTTGGAACTTCTTTCCATGAAGTACGCCCTAACCAAGTTCCGCATCTACCTTCGTGGTTTACACCGATCATGCGTCCTTACGCACGGCGACGAACACACCGCACCTTTCGCAGCGCATGGCGCGCTGTATTTCGTTCTTCTCCGAATTCACATTTTCGGTTCAGTACAAGCCCGGGAAGGACAACATCCTGGCCGACGCCCTGTCTCGGCGTCCTGATCTCGAACTGACCACGATCGGTCTTTTGACGTCCAGTCTTCATGATCGGATTCGTGCGGCGTACCACATGCTGACTGCTCGTCGCCGTTTCCCCCAAACCCCGCCGCGCTTCGTCGGCCTTACATCGCTTCGCCCTCGCCGATGGACTTTTGATGTCCCAACCCACCCGGACTCACCCCCGCGCATTGTCGTGCCCGGCGACGCGCAGCTGCGCCTCACTCTCCTTCGGTCGTACCACGACTTCCCCAGTGGCGGCCATTTTGGCCGTGACAAAATGAACGCGGTCCTGGCGCGTTCGTACTGGTGGCCCCGCATATACAAATCTGTTGTGCGCTACGTCGCTCACTGCGATGCTTGCCAGCGCACTAAGATCACCATCTCTTCTCGGGCACCGCTCCAACCCTTGCCTATCCCCGACGAACTTTGGTCGTCCGTCAGTATGGATTTCATGTTTGGCCTGCCGTGTGGCGCCCGCGACAACACCGGCATTATTGTTTGTGTCGACCGCGCGTCGAAATACGTTATCGCCGTCCCCTTCGGGACACGCTGAGGGGCGCGGACGCCGCTCGCCTCTTTTTCGACAATGTATTCTGTCGCTTCGGCCTGCCTCGCTCCATGGTTTCGGACCGCGACCCGCGGTTCACGGCGAAGTTTTGGTCCACCCTTTTCGCCATGTGCGACACCTCGCTCGACATGTCGACTTCGGACCACCCCGAGACCGACGGCCAAACGGAACGCGCCAACCGCGAGTGGGGGTGGAATCACTGCGTGGCTCTCTTCGGCAGGCGTACTCCGCAACGCCCCCAGCCGCACTCTCCAATCCATCCAGAGCTTCCTCACCCGCCGAGTCTCTGTCATGCAACAGATCCATGACAGCATCGCTGCCGCTCAGCAGCGCCAAGCAACAACAAACATGGCCGCTCTAACCTCGCGTCTTTCGCCGCTGGCGAACAAGTTCTCCTCCATAAGTTGGCGGTACCCGCACATGCATTCCGCACCTTTGCGGTTGGAATGTCCTCCAATGTCAAGCTACGCAGTGCTTGGCACGGCCCCTTTACCGTTCTCCGCATGGTCAGTCCAACCAACTACAAGCTCGATCTGCCCAACTCATGGCAGATACATCCAACATTTTATGTGGGTAAACTCAAACGTTATTTACCCCCATTATCTACATCTACGACCGATGAAGCCACGGCAAACGATCCTCTGGATCCCGCGGCGGCTTTTTCCTCTTCCGCCGCCATCGATTTCTCCTCTTCCCCTGGCGCCCCAGGTGTTGCCGTCCGCGACATCGGCCCCAGAACTTGCTGCGGCGCCGCAACCGCCCGCGCCCCCGCCCGATAATCCGCGGCTGCTTGCGGCTCCGCCTCTGTCACCTGACCATCCTGTTGTGGCCCCAATGGCGGATTGTACCCCGCAAACGGATTCACCGGCCGCGCCGCAGACAATCGCGCTGCCACCTGCGCATCTTCGCGCGCCAACGTCGAGGAACTCGCCGTCGGCGAAGCCCATACGCTCGACCAGGCGCTCGCAGGGAGCCGCGCCCCTTGCACTTGCGCTGCCGCCGGACCGCCAATCGCCCACGCGATCTCGAATGCCCACGCGAGCGCGATCGTGGGATTTCGATGGACAGCGACTGGTCGGGTCAACTACAACTTGGCATTGAGAGGATTACATCAAGCAACACTTACCTCAGGTTCGCACCGCACATTTATGCGGGTGGCGATTCGTGCGACTGACCGAGCGTCCAAACGCCCATGCTTCTGTCGCCACACCCGGGCGAAATTAGACAGCGAATTGGCCAAGCGCCCCGCTGTTAGCGGCGAATGCCCATGTCGCCCGCTGCCTTGTCCAACAAGCGCCCACAGAAACGCTACAAGGTACTCAAACAATGTTTCATCATTGCAAAGCTCGATCCACCCCACGTTCATAGTCCAGCGCTCCAGGCGGTCCCGTTCATGCAACTCACGCATGGCACCCTTGAACTCATCGAACCGGTGAAAACTCACCCTCGCAAGGTGCATGCATTCCACGGCCAGCAGCAACCACAACACCCGCAACTCAAACGATTGGGCGCTTGCAAACAAGCGCAGGTGTTCCACGCCGGCAGCATTGGCCGTCTGGTACCCCCAGTCGTCGCGAGTTTCGTCGAACGCGCCCACTACTGTCAAACAGCGCGTAACGTCGAGCACGTACCCCAAGTCCACGCCACCCCATCCGGCAGGCGTGAAGATTCGAGAGCGATCCCAGTGAAACCCCTATTCTCGCTCGAACACTTCGTGTCGGGCGAGGCCAGTCCGCTCCGGCCCACCAAATTCGACTTTCACTTTGGACTCCGTCTTTACGGCGGCTCCCTTGCCGCTCGCCTTTCCTTGCATTCCCCCGACGCCTGCAGCGTTGGGATGTCCCCCATCACCTGATGGTGTCCCAGTCACACCTCCAATGACCTCCTTACTCACTGCTTCTGCAGCCTGATTGGCTGCTTCGTCAGCCGCTTTCGCCGCAGCTGCTGCGATCGCTTTGGCCTCGATTTGCCTTCGCCTTCACCTCTTCGACCGCTCTTGCCTTCTTGGCGGCCTCCTCCCGTGCCAAGTGCTGCTCCAGCAGCTTCTGCACACCTTCGCCCACTCTCTGCATGGCGCTTTTCGCCAAGTCTGCAGCCGCTTGCTGCTGCCCAAGCCGTTCGCGCTTCACGGTCGCCTTGGCCTCCCAGTCGGCCTTGCGCTGCGCCACTCCGTCGTCGTCGTCCGATTCGGCTGTGAGGCCCGCTACTCCACTTGTTGCGCCGGCGCTTAGGCCTCTTCCACGCTGTCGTCGGCATCCTCGGCAATTTCGCTTGCCTTGCGCTTCTTGCCTTCGTCTGCCATCTCCAATCTCAACTGCCACGTCACAGTTCCGTCTCATTTCTGACCACGTGATGATGGCACGTTCTGTCTTAAGTAAGGGAGGGTGTAACCATGCCCATCATCCGGTTGGCAACCGGATGACTAGTTGACACCTCTTCAGTCCAAGGTGTCCGTCCTATCGCATATCAACATGTCCTCTTGCGCAACCAAGGTGTTCTCCCGACGATGCATCAATGGTTGGTTGCGCGTAGCTTAGTGATATCGTAGTAGTCTTAACGCTATCAATTCATTCTTGATTCTACCATCTCCTGCGTCTTCCCCTGCGCACACTCACAGACGCCGACTGCGTGATCAAGTTTCGTTTCAACAAACGTGAGATACCAGAGCTCGTCAACCTCCTCGGCATCCCAGACCTTCTAATCACACAAGCAAGATACAACGCTCCTGTTTCAGAGGCACTGTGTATCATGCTCAAACGACTTGCTCGTCCCCATCGCCTCGGATGAGTGGTGGAGACATTTGGTCACAGCCGCGAGGCGCTGTCATCCATTGTCAACGCAATTACGCGTCATGTGTACGACAAGTTTACCCATATGCACAAGTGGGACCATGTACGCTTGGACGCGGAGTGGATGAACGGTGTGGTCGTGCAATTCACCAGCAAGGTGCCCCCCTTCAAACATGCATTGGGTTCATTGATGGCACTGTGCGTGGAATATGCCTCCCAGGGAAACGTATCCAAAAAATTGTGTACAACAACCACAAGGTGATACAAAAACATTTATTGTTCTTCCTCCCAGGGAAACGTATCCAAAAATTGTGTACAAGAACCATAAGGGAATACAAGACCATTTATTGTTCTTCCTTAATGATATTTGATTGTAGCACAAGCATGCATTGGAAATACCAAGCCGTTACGTCACCGGATGGCATCATCGTGCACCTGCATGGACCCGAACCGGGCTTTTGACACGATGCGTATCTCTTGGCGCGCAGCAACTTGGTTGACGAATTGCGTGCGGGTTGTGCGTTGAAGGCACGCGCAACGTCTTTAAGGGGGCCCTGTGTACGGCCTCAGCGACGTATAAAGGAACGTTACTGGACGCACACCAAGCGGAATTCAATCGACGAATGAGTGCTGTTAGAGTTAGTGTAGAATGGAGATTTGGTATCGTGCGGAATTTGTGGACGTATGTGTTGTGGTGGGCGACTTAATCCAAGTCCCGCCATGACGTGGCCCTCAACCGAGGCCACCGGGTGCCGACCCTTGGCGAACCGACACGAAAAGGCATAGTATTACTAATAGTACTAGGACGTAGAAAACAGAACACCTGTCCCAAACAACTGCTCGAGTCTCACTCTTGGTTCTGCAACGCCGTGGTAACATCAAGTCAATCAAGTGTGCGGTTTGCAGAGAGTCGGTACTCCCCCATTTGGTTGTTTGTGTTGTCACTGGCGTGGGAAACAACACACACCCGCGGCTTTCGGTAAAATATTGATCTCCCAAAGCATTCGTGTTGAGTGCAATCAAATTTGTCGAGTGTACCTGCGGGAATGTCGTTGAAAAGTGCGGTATAAGAAGTAGATGTATAGTAGGTTGTACCTGCCAGAGAGTACCTATGATGGACATTCGCGTTTGGTTCAAATAATTGAATTAGTGTTTGCACTGAGAAAATCCCGTTAAGAGATATTTCACACCTTTGAGTTGACCCTCAAAGGTATATGTTGACCGTTCAGTTTTTGACAAATATATGATCTTGATTAAAGTATGCTGGATTATATTGACCAATATTTTCATCTTAATTTAACTATGCAATATTATCAGATCTGGATTTTTATCTTGATGTGGGCCTGGCATAGCTTACTATTAATAGCGTAAATCCTATTGCTTTATACCAGTCGTGACACTGGTTATTCGTACTAAGAGCATCCCCACCGGCTGATGTAGAAATGTAAAAATCTTCAAAGTACATCACTACATCAGCAAAATTTACATTTTCAGCCCCACACCGGTTGCCAATAAGTTTTACATCATGATGTAAACGCTCCATAAACACAGATTTCTCAACAGATCTGTTGGGTCATTTACAGTTCTATGCGATTGAGGTCCCAATGGACTTCTTCAACGAAGCATGCCATCCCGATGTCCTGAAGCACGCCGGCAGCATGAATATGAATCTTACAGACAATAGAATGTACGCCAACCTGCTGCACTAGATTCACCACTGGCGAGAGCTCCAAAACCTCAATCGCCAGCGGGCGTCCAACACGAATTTGCTCCATCAGGACTACTATTTCCGCCAACCGGTGTGGATTGGCTGTGAAGTGATGTACTACTGTTACAGCACGCACCCAATAAACGGGTCTTTTCAGCTCTATGTTTACATCAGCCGGTGGGGATGCTCTAATGCACTACTTATATCAGCTTGTTCATTATTTTCGACACCTCTTAAGTCATTTCACAACGTAACTCAGGCCTCCTAAAATTGTCGTCCTCGCCAGTGTTAGTTTGTCGTCTTACACATAAAGGCGGTTTAAGGTGCCAAAAGGGATCGTCGTGGTGTTTTACTACCGGCCTCATCGCTTTCTGCTTGGTCTGGACAACACCTTCCAGGGGCAGATACATCCGTGCGATTCTCGTCCATCTCCCATTTGAGGATGGAGATATCGCTCACGTCAGCGACGGTATTGGCGAAGCAGTGGTGGCCAGGCGGCCACTGAAGGCCAGGACAGACGCTCCAGGCGTCGTCGAAGGTCTTGTTCTACAGTAATCGTGTGAGTCAATGGCTGCGCGTAGAATCTCGTCGTTGTGATAATACTTCATCAGTGCCTCAAGTTGGTCGATATCCTCATCTAGTGCGGCGTCAGCACGTCGCACCCACACGCCATGAAGCACCGGCGGCGCGTCGGTTTCCAGCGGATTAGTGGCGTCATCATGCTCGGCATGAAGCGAATTTCCTGAATGCAAGCTCCGCGCTTGCAGTGAGCGTATCCGTACATCAGCCAATCTCCCTCTCTAACAACTTGGGTGACTATGAAGAAACTTCAGATTGTCCTTTCGCCAACCAGAAATGCCTAGATTTCGGCCTTCCATGACTTCGTTATATGAGTTGTCACCAGTTCCTGCATCCTCCGGATTATTATTCGTAGCATTAATTAAAGGAAATTGGAACAGTTTGATGGCCAAAATGATTAAACCAGTAGATGACCTGAAAATGGACCCCTTGTCCCATGTCCCAACCCCAAATTTGGTTTTCGGGACATCCGGTGGGGAAGATTTTGTCCCATCTGATGTCCCATTATCGAGTTGGGACATATTTGGGGATGCGGTGGAGATGCTCTTATCTTTTTTACGCTTTCTCTGCTATAGAAGATTAAATGCGCTACATCATACAAGTAAGCTTTGAAGGATTCGGTGTATGCTTCACCAAGTTATTGCTGGTCAAAGTGAAAATTATGAATGTTGAGAAGATCAGTAGATAATCCTAATCCAGCCTTGAATACAGTATACACTGTACTATTAATATTAATAGTACATCGATCCTGTGGGACTGTAATAGTATTGTCAATATGAAACGTATTCACTAGATTAATTATGTTTTGGATTATCATTACTCCGGAGTACTACTATAAAAGCGTATTCACTCTAGAGTTTATATGTAATGAAATAAGTTTCGTCTTGAAAAGTGTTTCGGGTCATTCTCTGATATCGGGCAATCTACATTTTTTACGTTAGCAACACTTTCGGTGCTGTTTCGAGGGAATAGCTACAGTACTTCTGCCGTTTCACGAAACAAAATGTTTCGTGACTGCATTGACAGTGTGAATCTGTTTCGTACTACAGTGTGAATCTGTTTCGTACTTTGAGTACTTATTTGTTTCGCAAATCGTGTAAGTATATCTAATCATATCAATTCTTGAATTCTATTGGGTAATACAGCTCATAAAATAATCATTACTTTCGGCAAATCACAGATCCGTCACGTTACATATTTCATCTTTGGCGTCCTAAATAGTCAGAAAAACCCGAGGATGACTGAACCACATTAACAGTAAAGTACTTTAACAGTTGCAATACCACGCTGTTGAATATTTAAGACGCGCCAAAGTGGACTAAATGACAAGAGGTGCGTGAGTGCATTTATGCATATGTTGTATGCATCCCAACCATCCATATGTTAAACCTTGGTACTGTACTAGTACTACGTAGTACTTGGTAGTGCAATCACAGTCTGATGTTAACGATTGGATTGACTTGGCTTTACTGTTCAGTGAAAGACCATTCATTTTCAAATTTCCATCATGAAGTTCGCACTCCTCGCTTTCACCGTGGCCGCCGCTGCCTTGGCTCAAGACCACATTGTCCCACCCAAAGTCGCTTGGGGCGATGAGGCCCCTGTCGACGGCTTCGAAATCCTCGGGGGCCAGGAAGCCCAATTGGGCAAGCACCGTTATGTGGCTGGGCTCAAGAAGTCGCCCAATGGTGAGACCTTGTGCGGCGGCAGTCTGATCGCCCCCAATGTCGTTTTGACAGCGGCGCATTGTTTGAAAGGTAAACTACGTGCTGTGGTCGTGGGCACGCACTATTTAACCGGTTTTGCCGACGGAGAACTGGCCAATATCACCCAGGAAATCAAACACCCCAAGGGCACCGACGTGGGCATCGTAATCTTGGACCGCAATATCACGACCATCCAACCTGTGGCGGTGTCGTTTGAATTCGTTCCGGCGGACGTGCTCGCTTGGGTACGCGGCTGGGGACGCGTCACGAGTCGTGCTCGTGCCCCCTATTCGAAAGTGCTCAAGGAGCTCAGCGTCACGACCTGGAACAACACTGGGGCCTCGGCTGCGTTGTTCCCCATTAGACTAACCGACACGATGTTGGGTGCTGGAGGGGTGGAAGGAGAAGACTCGTGTCGCGGCGACTCGGGGGGACCGTTGACCATCGAAGAAAACGGTACCGTGCGCTTGGTGGGGGTGATCAGCTTTGGCCGTGGTTGTGGTGTGCACGGCAACCCAGGTATCAATGAACGCGCCAGCGCTGCTCGTACCTTTATTGAACCGTACTTGCCGAATTAAGTCAAACATGCGCGTGCCATTATGAAGCGACATGGCCAACATCCAACCAACTTGGTTATGGAAGGGCAAACTCGCTCATGTTGTGTTTGTGGTAAACATCGTTAATTTGATGAATACTCCCTATGTTCCCTTTAACTGGAGAATTGGCGGAAAGTGTACTTCCCGAAGAATAGTATTACACAGTAATTATTGCTTGACTGAAATAGATCAATCTGATTGGTGCAATCGGCTCATGCAGTCCTTTGCGTCCGCGCCACTCAGCGCAAACGGCATGTGCTTCTTCAGGGAGACTAAATCATCGTGCACCGTCAACGACGATGAATTGGATGGACTTTCACGGCCAGCAACAGCGACAAGTTCCAGCGCCACAGACATCGGCGCCGACATGGTTGGTAAGCTAGGAAGACCTCGAAAACGTGTACACACAACGTATTTTAATACGTACAGTAGTGTACTCCGAGTACACGTTTTCAAGATGTGCATGATTGGTACTAGGTACCTACAGTATTATATTTCACCATTGTATTACTATTAATATTCACCATTGTACAGTAGTCCCCCAGAATAGGGAACCTTTGATTCCGATACGTTTTAAGAGGTATCACTACTGCTCAGGTATAAAACTAAAAAGGTATTTTCGGTAGGGTTCCTTGCTTCTGATTGGTCAATGTACTCGGATTGAAAAATGGACATCATTTTCGAATTCAGGAGGGGGTTGATATCCTAGCTTACAGATGACCAT